CGCCTCCCGCTCCCGCCCCCAATGGAACCGGCCTCTCCGGGCCCTGCGCCTTCTTTAAAGGCCGCCCCGTTGCGAGGAGGCGCGGGGCTGAGTGGGAACACCGGCCGCCGCCCCGGGGATGGTTTAGGCTCCAGCTGCGCTCGCACCAGGTGAGGGAGCCGCCGGCCCACCTGCCGGGCCCCGGGACCAGGAGGGCGGGACTCCGTTCAGCAGCGAATGGGCTCCGCCCAGGTCCACACCTGTGGTTCTGAAATAAAGGTCCTCCCGATGCCACGCGCGCCGAACGGGCGGCTCCCACCTTTCCAAACAGCGTTTGCGTCTGTCGAAGAGAAAACTGGATCGAGATCTTTCGGAGATAGGACACCAGGAGTAAAAATAAGCATTTTCTTAACCGTTGGTGGTTAGTAGATGAGGAGTAAGTCCCTGCCACCTTGGGGTGCACGCTGAGCGACATCGTGATCACGCCCCGCCCTCCCCGGGACGCTCACCTGCCTGTCTCTTCAGCGTCTTCATCTCACCTGCTGCGTCAATAAACCGGAACGCAGTGGTCCATCTCCCTGGAGCAGGCATTGGGCTGTTTCTAATTTTTTTACTGTTTCGGCCAGGGCTGCAGTAAATATTCTTGTAGACATTGGCCCTTGAACGACACAGGGGTTAGGGGCGCTGACTCCCCCTCCCCCCGTGCAGTCGAAAATCTGCATGCAACCTGACTCCCCAGAAACTTGAGTTGTCCCCCCATATCCAGGAGGGATTGGTTCCAGGACCCCCCAGGATACCAGCTTCCAAAGACGCGCACATCCCCTGTGTAAAGTGACGTAGATGAGTGCATACACTCAGCCCTCCCCACCTGGGACTCCCGACAGCAGGTGGAAGGCAGCAAGGCATTTACTGAAGAAAATCCACATAGGGCTGCACCCACTTCTGTGTTGTCAGGGTCGAGTGGACACTGTGAAGGGAAGTGTCTCCCGGGTGTGTGCCCCGGGGTAGGAGGGGTGCGGGGTCCGTGAAGGCCTTCCTGTCCTAGGTACTGTTCCTGGTTCAGCTATGGCTGTACCCGTGTACTCACCCATCCGCAAGGCATGAGCCCCATTTCTCTTCATTTTCATCAGAACCTGACATATACAGACATCTGAGTTTTTGCTGATCAGAGATGTGGAATGCCTTCTAGTTTTTACAGGTGTAATTCCTGGAGGTCTAGGGAGCTTGCGCTCATTTCCTGACACTTCAGGTTTCTTCTGGGAATTACCTATGATGCTCTTCACCCATTTTCCCTTTGGTTGTTTGCTGATGTTCTTCATGTGATCTTTGCTAAGACCTTGGGGTGTGTGTGTTGCAGGTACTTGTCTCTGTCGGTAGCTGGCCTTTCAGCTTGTTTATGGGGAAGAAAAGTTTTTTCTACTCTTGAGTCATAAAGATGCTTCTCTCTGAAGTTTTAAAGGTTTGCTTTGTACATGTCAGTCTGCTCTCCTGGGGTTTACTGTTGCGTCTGGTATGAGGTAGAGACTATATTCATTTTTCTTTTTCCATGCGGATGACTGGTTGTCCCAGCACCAACTCCCCTGTTGTCTTTATTCCCAATGATGCCGCCTCTGTGATACCCAGACTCGCTGTGCGTGTGGGTCTGTTTCTGGGCTCCGCAGTCTGTTCTCTTGGTCGGTTTGTCTATCCCTATGTCAGACCACGTTGTCTTCATTACTGTCACTTCGTACAGGTGCTGTGTACCTGGTAAGACTCTCATGGTCACCTTTTTCAAACCTGTTCTGACGGCTCTTGATTTTGACCTGCAAGATAAGTTATATGCTTGGCTTGTCAGATGCCATGAAAAATCCCGTCTTCCAGTTTGGATTGGCATTACATTTCATTTATAGATAACTCTGGAGAGAATTGACTCACGAACATGGTGTATTTCCTTTATTCGGGTCTTCCACAGTGTCCTTTCAGTAATATTTCATACTTTTCCCCAAAACATATTCGGTGTTTTTATTAGATTTATTGCTAGGTATGTTATCTTGCTTTTAGGAATAGTGTTGTTTTCTAAGTGGCTATTTCTGGCCTATTCTGTCAAATCACTTTTCTTCCCTTTGTGAACGTGTTATTTTCTCCTTTTCCAGTAGATGGCAGCAAAATACATGATTTTTTTAAAAGCATGTTCAGTGGCGTCTTACTTTTTTCCACTGAAATGAAGATGATTTAGTTTAAAGGTATTCTGAGATATTTCTACATTACCTCCCTTTGTTCCATTTAGGAGGATAGAAAGAGGCGCGATCGGGACCGTGTGGAGAATGAGGCAGAAAAAGACCTCCAGTGCCAGGCGCCTGCAAGATTGGACCTGCCCCCTGAGAAGCCTCTCTCGAGCTCTGTAGCCAAACAGGAAGGTCAGAGCAACGGTGAACTGTCCTGAGTGAGGAGGCTGACACAGCCAGGGGAAGGCACTGGGTTTCTAGCTTTCAAGTGAAAGTTTGAAAGCCTTTTAATGGAATTTTTAGTTTTCTTACTTCTCTGATGCATACGACCTTTAAATTAGCTGCAGTTTTGAATTCATACTTACTTATAAGGGAAATGGAGTTTCTGTGTGAGGTGCTTAATGATGGGTATGGATAAGTCATATAGAAAGGAAATCAGCTAAACAGGACTCCGCAGAATCTGCCTTTTTAAAGTGCTCTTTTCCTTTCTTCTTTGCCTTAGAAGTAGAACAGACGCCCCTTCAAGAAGCTTTGAATCAACTGATGAGACAGTTGCAGAGGTAAATGGGTTTTCCAGTCCTTTTGTAACGTGGACATTGAAAGGAGAAAGATAGTATCCAAAACACTTTTCTATTTTGATTATTTAAAGCCCCATTGTGTGGCCGGAATCCAAACGTACTTGATTTTAAAGTGGATGATAAATATTTTGCCTGGCAGTGAAGCCCTCCAAGAGGCTGGCTTTTAGATGTTCTCATTGGTTTGTTTGAACTGGCAGCTTGAAGAGTGTTACGTAATATTCTTAATGGCAGATTTCTTTTAATCTGAAGTAACTTCTGATGTTCAAGCTTTAAACCAGGAATAAACAATACAGATAGTTCCACTTTGTTTATAGATAAAAATGCCTTCTGTGTATCTGCGCAGTGCTTATCATACTGTGAAAGTTCAGCGATTACTAAGCCTGGGGCGGGGGGCAGAATACTATAAATAGGATTCGTGCCACTTTTAAATGCAGGAATTGGTTCTAAAAATTTCAGTATCTAGATTAAGCCAATGTTAAGTTTGTACAAGGGGAAAGAATAAGTCAGTGTTTATTAAAATGTTCTGATACTTCTCTGTACTCAGAATTTCAGTTTTTAGCTGAAAGACATGTCCCTGGCAGAGGATTCGCAGGTGCAGGGCATGCATTCTAAGAATGCAGTTGACCAGTGTGGGAACACCACTTCGGTCATGGGGCTCTGTATCAAATGACTGCTCTCGGGGGCGGAGATGATGTTCTCTGAAGAGGGCCTCCCAGACGGCCAGTGTCGTCGTTCACAGTAACTGCTGTGGCATCACCCATCTGCACGTGGAAGGTCCAGGCAGGGTGTTTCTGCTTATTCTCGGGTGTTAGTCTCCTTGCTTGGGCATCGTGCTGGGAAGAGCAAAGGCAGAGTCCCGGGCCTGTAACGTGGTAAATACATTTTAAAAGTCACTGCTATTGTTAGTTTTTAAGCCATTTTTTATTGTCATGATGATTTAGAATCAAAAAATTTTAGTATGCCAGATTTCCAGAGGAAAAACCACTCTGATGACCTAATTATATAAAACAATGGTTCTCAACCCTGTCAGTCCTGGAAATACCAATGCCAAATGCTTCAGTGCCAGTACCAGGACTCAACCTTAGAAACACCAGTGCCTGGACCCACCCTCCTTCCTCACGCAATTTTTTATTTTTAAATATATGTCTTTATTGATTTCAGAGAGGAAGGAAGAGGGAGAGAGAGATAAAAACATCAATGATGAGAGAGAATCATTGATCGGCTCCCTCTTGCACGCCCCCCCCACTGGTGATTGAGCCCGCAACCCAGGCATGTGCCCTTGGTGGGAATCGAACCCGGGACCACTCAGTCCGCAGGCTGACGCTCTATCCACTGAGCCAAACAGGCTAGGGCCTCACCCGATTCTTATGCCCTGGGTCTGAGGTAAGCCTCCCCTAGCCCACTGGAGTTTTTATAAAGTTCCTCCAGTGAGAGTTGAGAGCCAGTAATAGAAAACACTGTCTCAAGTTTAGGGTATTATGAGGGCTTTTTAATGTCATTTTTTTAACACACCCCCACCTACACACACAACACAACACACAATAGAAGTCAAAATATATAAGCTCACAGGGATGCAGTAATTGTGTGGCCCACCAAGAGTCCAAGCCAATAGTTAGAAACCATATGGAAGAGGGCACAGGTGTGCATTCACCGTTACTGTTTCCGCCTTTCCCCCCGTGGTGGATAAAAATACATAGTACTAATCACCCAAAGGCCAAGACATTGCTCAGTTAAGCTGGGCTTTTTATTTTTCATTTTTCCCTGTGTAGGAGGTACTACTAATTAATTTAACCTGCATATTTTAAAAGACTCTATAAGAGTACAATTATTATGTAAAACATCTTCACCTTGTTATTAAATAGTTATTAGTCTTTACAGTTATTCCTGTAGTTTTCAGTGGAAAACATGTTAGCATACTACAGATTCTTTCTACATCTGAACGGTTTCCTCTGACTCCTGCTCTTAGACCAGTAGATATGTTTGTAGTAGAAGTAAAATTGGCTTTTTTATATCTTCACAGAAAAGACCCAAGTGCTTTCTTTTCATTCCCTGTGACTGATTTTATTGCTCCTGGCTACTCCATGATCATTAAACACCCAATGGATTTTAGTACCATGAAAGAAAAGATCAAGAACAATGACTACCAGTCCATAGAAGAACTGAAGGTAACTAGAGCTGTTTGTGTTGTGATGGGACAAATAACAGCTCTGATACAAAGTAACACATCTTTATTCATTTGGGAGGCAAGCTCTTGGATCCTGTAGATATGCAATCTTGGTAGAAACCTTCATGTTTGGTATTGAGAATCGTTCTAATTGAGTTTTTGTTTTGCAAAGAATTAAGTTTACTTTAAAATCCAAAAATCTTTGTGTATTTCTGTCTTTGAAAACATTTTTGAGCTTGGAGGTACAAAACCAGATAAAATAAGCCATCTGCTATCTTTTATTATTTGGGGGATTTTCATAAAATTTTGAATTTCATATGTTCCACAGTATATTTTCTCAACTGTTAAAATGAGAGGATATTGATTTTCAATTTCAGATCGATACAGGTGAAGTTGATATTTTAATGAAATTGAATTAGAGTTGTTTCTTTTCCTAGACATCTAAGGTGTGCATGTCTTCTCACATAGAGAATAAGTTGGCTGGTCCAGAAATACTAGTTTAATGAAAGTCACTTGCTCTCTCAGATCACTTTGGCCGTATTTGTTGAGCATGTTTCCTTCAACTTTAAAAGGAAGGAAATTAAAAACTTGCAAGTAAAGAACCTACAAGCCACTAAAATGATGTACATGCCTAATGTTATAGTTGAAGTCTTTTCCGTCTTTACGTAGTCTTGGTATATGTTGATTTGAGAGATGATACTTTTCTTTTTAATCTTCATCCGAAAAGGAGCCACGTGTGTTTTAAATTAGCTTTATACCAAACCACCACAGACTACACTGGTTTGGATGTATATTTTGCCTTTATTTTTTCTGCATAAGCATCATAGTGTGCATCTGACCTAATCAGCTATAAAAGGAAAATCTGGCAGTAAACTATATCTTTATTTGCTCTTTTTTTTTTTTATCCACATGTCAGTCAGCTGAGAGATGAATAACACCAGCATTGAATTCTGTCTTCCTACCATTTTGAATGGATAGATAATAAATACCCCAGTACTCTGGAAAACTGGAATTGCATTCTTGTGTCTTTAGAGAAATGGAAACTTTCCCCAACTTTTCATCTGGTGAAAATTAGGCTAGAACTGTTTATTTCAGCATATTTCCGACTTGATTATTGCTTAATGGAAAAAATCTTAACAGTTTTGGTTTTTTTTTCTTTTAGTGAACAGTTTTCCTCTGATCTTTGTCTTGTGATGACAGGAGAGAGCAGTATGCCCCTACGTGTTTTTGAGCAGATGCTTCAGGCTTATCATAATTAAAATGAACAAGTATTTTGAACTCTTTAGAGTTTTCTATATTACTACCTTTTTTTTTTCCCCAGCAACCCAAAGTAATATTTATTAGCTTATCCAGCTCATTAGGCTGTTCAAGATTTTTTTAATTATGTGAAAAGTATGCAGAAGGGTCATTCAGGTTTCAGATGACCAAGTGCCATTACACAGAGGTCCAGGAAAGCCCAGCACATGACAGTGCTGAAGGCCCAGGGAACCCACAGGCTGCCTGTGCTCGGGAGGAGAATCCAGTGCCCTCGGGCCAGTGACCAGCCCAGTGTCATTTTGTGTGAATAATGGCCATGGTGTGTCTCCCCTCACCGGCCTCTCCTTCCCCCGAGTAAACACTTAATAGTTCTTAATGGACTGGAAGCTTTCCCGAATATCTGTCCAAGGGTGCTTCACTTAGGGTCCCTTGGGTAGCCTTGGGGGGACCGGGAACCCGCTAAAATTACATGAAAAGGTCTGCTCCGGTGTGCGCATGCACACGCACAGGCTGTAGGAACAAGTGGGCCCATGGCTTTCATCACATTCTTGGAGGTGCAGGGTCCAGCGAAAGCCTGGCTGCTTAGAGACTGGGCCAGGGGCCGAGTCCTCATGAACTTCGTCCACTTTGAATTTAATACCAATTTATTATGACCCTAGAATCAGTCTTCTCATAACTGGTAAACAGTGCTCAGTACCTCTTTTTGTTCCATTTGACTGTTCTCAGCTGTCATCACTTTATTAAGTAGTGGCGTTCGAATGTTTTTTTGATTTGGAGGAGTTTGTTAGGGGGCATCAGATTCTTTTTTGTTGGGTTTTTATCATTTTAGTTTAGTAAGGGCTTGACATAATCGCTCACATTTATGTGATGTAAAAATTACCCATGAATTGCTTCTCTGGCATATCTGTGTACTTTGAAATTTAAATCAGAAATGTAATTTGGGGTCATTTGGCTCCTCATTTACATGTTTCAGCTTTTTGAGGTTGTATGGTTTATTTCACATGGTCATGATTTTGCAACATTCTGCAAATTATGTTTATCTTATAATAGCATCCAAATAGGTAAAAGGAAATGTGTAAGCATTGGAACATTTTTGCTCAGTTAGTTTGGATTTAGTAGGAAATAATGTGATAATTTAGCCCTGGTCCCTGTTTTCAGTCAAGATCTGAAATAAAATTTAATAAATATATAGAAACTTAAGATTTTTTTAAACTAAGAATAACATTTCTAATTACATTAACTAACTACTCAGTTAAAATTATTCTATTAAATATGTGATAGAAGTATTTTCTTCAATTTCTTTTTTTCCGTAAGATTAAAATTTTCATCTTGATATATAAAGTTTATATAGTTGTGAAATGTTTCAAAAATTTGGAAAAGAATGTAGGATATTTAAATTAGTATTTGTGAGTTTTAAAATTCAATAAATTGCTATTAATGTTCTTCAGTAAACATGAGAGAAGAGGGCAGGATGTTGTTTTATTTTCATTTTTTGAAGGCCTGTATGATTTCAAATCAAGAAAGAAGCGCACTTCGTTTTGTTTGAATGCGTTTTCCCCCTTAACATTCTCTCTGCAGGATCACTTCAAGCTCATGTGCACGAACGCTATGATTTATAACAAACCAGAGACCATTTATTACAAAGCTGCCAAGAAGCTCTTACACTCGGGAATGAAAATCCTTAGCCAGGTAAAGAAACGTCTTTGTCATAAATAAGAATTTTTATAAAGGTTGTATTCCTTTGTTTTTTGTCATAGTAATACAGGTCCAGTTCAGTACTGGTTTTATTGTTTAGGCAGATCATATGTAAGTTGAAATATTCAATAAAACTTTTGAATAATACAGAGAAGAAAATGAAAGGAAGATTCTCGTTTGGAATTGATACAAAGTATTGGTGCTCACTTGTAATTACTTATACGAGGCTCTTGAATGGATACTCACCAGGTAGACTTGTACTTACAGTTTAAGAAACACCAGCCCGAGTTCCAGGATGAGGCTGGTTAGGTGAGGGAAGAGCGGGGGGAGGAAGTGCCCCTCCCTTTGTCAGGACGGGATCTGAAGTGGCAGCACAGGAACTCCTGGGAGAAGAAAGAGACACAAATGAGCACTAACGGGCAACTGTCTCAAAGCCACCTGAAGGGAGCTGTCCCTCCCGGCAGGGACAGGCATTCGAGGTGGCAGAAATGTGGGCAGGGGCCCAGGCACGTCCTCAGCTGTGTGACGGAGACAGCGTAACCACACAGCCTGCAGAGCGGTGCTGCAGACAGTGGCAGGAAACTGTGGGTGTCGTCTGGGAGCGAGGGCTGATGACAGACCGTGAAGGGTGAATTGAGGCGAACGCTGTGGGAGAGAAGGGGAGCTCCTAGGATAAGCCACCTCTCGGGGTTTTACTCACGGCTCCGAGTGGGATGGGAAATGGGCGCCTCGCCACAGCAGGAGGGGGCGCGGGTCTAGTGGGAGCTCTTGCCGCTGACTCCTGGGCCCCAGGCAGGACCCGAGCCCCTGGGCGTCCGTGTCCTCATCTCCAGAGGAGGGTTTGACCTGTGCCCTTCGGGACCATCGCCCCCAGCGAATGCTGCCGCGAGAGGAGACCTGGCGTGGGGCGGAGACTGACCAAGAAGAGCAGGAGAGGAGAGGGTTTTTTGCAAAGAAGAAATGTGTGGGTATAAGATAGCAAGAAGGAGAAAAGCTGGCGCTCAGAGCTGGAGCTCAGACCCCGAGGAGTTAGGGACAGTGGGAGTGAGTCATGGCCGCACGTGGTTTCTCAGCTTTGATGGTGCATCTGTGTCAGTTCCACGTTACAGAGCCGCCATGGTGTGCACATGGCTGAGTGTCTGCTGGGCTCTGAAAGGTTCTTGGACCCACTTCACAAGGGAAAGAGAAACATTTGGGTTGACAGTTAATCCTTGCACTCCTAATATTTAGACAGCAGTCCCATCCTCTCCCACAGACTTAGGAAACTGTGATGTCAGCCAGTTACCCATCTTTGGCAGAGTTTGCAGAGGGAAGAGAATGTAAAGTGTTTATCCCAGTCTTGGCAGAAAGACTCAGAGGACAGAACCGAGCCGTGTCCCAGGTTTAAAAACCCACAATGCTGTTGTTACCCCATTTGAAGGAAAAGTGCTTCTGTCAGTTGCAGCCTTTACTCCAAACGAGGCACATGGATTTCTAGGAGAAAGTGTAACTCACAGGGCTAGCATATCCAAGGCAAGTTTATTCGTGTTGACTCACCACTGTTACCACCATTTAGTGTCGGTAAATGATGTAGTTAATATAACATGCGAAAGAGTCCAGTATCCCCTGGAGTTTACTGGGGTGAGTTGGTTGGAGGCACAGAAAATGCAGTTTCTTCTCCCTTTCCCTTTTCTGTTATCTTCCTTTTTCTCAGACCTCTTCCTGTTGAGGAGCCCTACCCATCCTGTGTTATAGCTTCCTGTTGACTTCTCTCCACCCCAGATGGGAGGGATCCTTACAATAGTGATTTTACATGATTAAATTTAGACCTGAGCGAACTCCTCACATAGCAGTGTTCCCAGGAGAGCCCAGCACACCCTCCCATGTGTGGTGTCTTTTAAAAGATAATTGCTTAAATGTTCGATGGAAAAAGATTGCAGAGCAGCCTTTCATTATTTTTTCAGTTACAAATACTGACAATTAGAAGACGTTATTTTTATAAAGAATGGGCATACGTAGAATAACTCTTGATCACCTAAATAAATCCGAGATGCTGTTGCAGCACAATAGAATCGGACTGATCAGGGCCTGTCCTGGCTCTGTGGCCTGTCCCTCTAGATCAGCCGTGGGCAAACTACGGCCCGCTTGAAATGAATAAAACTAAAAAAAAAAAAAGACCGTACCCTTTTATGTAATGTTTACTTTGAATTTATATTAGTTCACACAAACACTCCATCCATGCTTTTGTTCCGGCCCTCCAGTCCAGTTTAAGAACCCATTGTGGCCCTCGAGTCAAAAAGTTTGCCCACCCCTGGTCTAGATAATACGTTAACGAGGCTTTTATTTTCTCTATTCACGTCTGTGTCTGCAGTACAGTATATTAGGTGAGTAGTTTTAAGATTACTTTAAAATGAAGTTCAGAAATGCAACAGGTCTGCTTTCCTGAGGCTTTTCCAGGCTGCACCTCTGGTACAGGCCTGGGCACAGGAGGCCCGGCCTCGTCACTGGTTCTGTGACCTTAGATGAGTCACTTAGTGTTTCTGGACTTCATTGTTCTCATCTGAATGCCCTCGGTCCTTTCTAGTTCCTGTTCTGTAAAGCCTTCCCTGCCGTTGTCTGCGTCCCCCAGGAGACCGCCCTCCATATTTCATCCAGTGACAGGCTCAGCGTTCAGAGGCAGAGGCATCACTAGGAACAGCTTCCAGAAACCTCAGGCCCCGAACCACAGCACAGACCTCACAGCGTGTCCGTGCAGTGGGAAAGTAAGAACGTTACGCGCTCCGTGAAGGCAGCTGTGCTGGCCCCTCTCGTTCTCTAGCAGGCTGTTTCCCAGGCCGCTGGGGACCGCCCTGACGCCACAGCACTCGGAGAGGCCTGTGCTCACGGGCTGTCGGTCTTAAATACCTGCGCATTCTTAAACTTCAGCCATAAGCCATTCTGCTCAATATAAAACTTTAACATGCTGTTAAAACAAATTCCGCTTTTTAAATTCGATACTGCAAAGAAGTCTTTACTCCTCTGTCCTTTCTGTGAACTATTGGATGATGCAGTAAAGTTACAAAGCATTCTCTTAGGTTGGAAGTGCAGTTGTCTGAATGGAAGGATAGACTGTTGTCCTGGTTCCTGAGTCTAATACTCGGTGCAGTTACATTGAATTGTTCTTCTCCCCGGGTTACTCACGAGATAAATGCAAGCTCTTGTGAGAAACACAATGCGTTACTTTAAAAGTGAATGACAGACATGCACTGAGAACGCTCTTGAATTTCTTTAGGAGCGAATCCAGAGCCTGAAGCAGAGCATAGACTTCATGGCTGACCTGCAGAAGAGTCGGAAGCAGAAGGACAGGGCAGACCCCGCGCAGGGCGGGGAGGACAGCGGCCGCTGGCCGGCGGAGAGGGAGGACGCGGGCGAGACCGAAGCACAAGCCTTCAAGAGTCCCCACAAGGAAAACAAGAAGTAAGGAGCCTCAGCAGGGTCACAGGAAGCGGTCTTTTCAAGCGGGTGAGGGGGAATGCTGCTGCGGCGCCTGCCTGCGGGAGCCAGGGCCAGGCTGCCTGTGGGCGGCTGGTTTGGGCATGAACGTCCATCTCGGGGTGTGACACCTTCGTCCCCTACCAGGCACCATGTGGACTTGCCCCACACAGTTCGGAAAACAGCTCTGAGTGTGTCTTCTTACGAGACTGGTTTTAAAGCCAACAAGTTCTTCTCGGGCTCGCTGTCAGTGCGTTTATTTAAGTAGGACTGTTTGTGGAGGGAAATGTATTCATGACCGTAGGGGGGCTGTCGTGTGGACATGGACGTGTTCACCAGACATCACCCGGGAGCAGGGACTCCCCAGGGCCCCGCCCAGCCCCTCACTGCACTCCGGAAGAGGGTTGTCATTAGTAATTGGGGCTTTCTGCTGTCACAATGCAAAGAAAGTAAACTTACGACAAGTTTTAGTTCTGTTTCTGTGATTTATAATTTTAAATGTTCATTATAAAAATCAAACTTTTAAAAAAAATTTTCTCTCCCTTCAATATATATTCTTGGTAGATTTCATTTTTTTGTGCGTATGCTGAGAAAAATGTTTAAGGCAAATAACACTGGGCCCAAACGAGGGAGCTAGCCCGGGTCTGGGGTTTGCCTTTCCTGCACACGCACAGGCCTCCCCGTCATTAATTAGGGAACAGCACGGCTCCACCTCTGCTGTCTTCATGTTTGAAATTCCCTTTAATGCTTTCACCTTACCTTCTTTTTACTTACATTCATGTGTTCTCAGGAAAGACAAAGATACGCTGGACGATAAAGTGAAGAGCCACAACTTAGAGAGAGAGCAGGAGCAGATCGACCGCATCGTGCGGGAGTCCGGGGGCAAGCTGACGCGGCGGCTGGTGAACAGTCAGGTGACGGGTGGGCCCCTCCTTGGAGTCGCTGACCCGGGGTCTGAGCGTGCGCTTAAGTCCCGTGTACTTTCAGTCCACATCTGCCTCGGGGCCCTCAGCACCACACTCAGATCAGAGAAGTCGTGGGTGTTTGTCAGTTACATGATTAACCTTGCCCTCTTTTACTGGGTTTTTAACATGTTCTAACATCAGGAAATGAGCCACTACTTTTATGTTTATGAAAACGTTTATACTGTGGTCTTTTGAAATATTATTGTTTGGCGCATTGGTTTTAAACCAGATGGATTCGTATATGACTTTGGGAGGTCACCCCCCTCCTGGTCTTCAGTGTCCTCTTGTTTAAGCAGCAGAGGCAGAACCAGGTGGCCGTAAGGACCCTTTCACATGGCCTTTCAGTCTGTGGTTCCCTAACCATCCCTAGTCCAGCTGTCAGCACCTGTGCATAGGGGACAGGTGTGCACGTCGGGATCTGCGTGTTCTGTGACAGCTCCCTGTACTGTGTGATACAGCAAGGCTTTCTGGTGGGGTACGTGTATGATACACACAAAGCCGCTTATGCCGTGTGAACACTTTGGGTCATTACAGTGTGAATTTGAAAGAAGAAAGCCAGACGGAACGACGACGCTGGGACTGCTGCACCCTGTGGACCCCATCGTAGGAGGTGGGTTCACACAATGAGACCCGCAGAGCTTGCTGTGGGCAGAGAGCAGAACCTGGTGCCATTATACAGCACCAGGCCTGAATGTTGACCCATCTAGCGTATCGCTGTCTACAAAGAACTGGCTAGACATCATGTTTTTCCTGTTAACAGCTGGCCCCTTTTCCTTCATCCTAAAATATTATACAGATCACGTTTTCTTTAAACCACTAAGCCCTAGGATATCAGACCCACCTTTAACACAGGCAGAATGTGAGGCAGTCACTGCTAGCCCTGCTTGGTAGAGTGCTTGGTGGCTCAGTGACTTCTCCAGGCGTCTCAGAACCCTGCGATTCTGACATCATAACTCCGCTGTTGCAGTGAACAGATGGGCTAGTGCAGACCGTTGGCGGCTTTCCCTGGGCCAGTGGGAAGTTTATAAAGGTCGAGAACCTGTTGTATAACTTCAGTCCTATTTTATTTTCTCAGATGATATTTTACTGGAAATCGTATAGGGAGTATTTTGAAATTTGATGTAAAAATATTAATTTTGTCATTCATCTGAGGGGAAGTAAGTGCTGTAATACGCAATTGTGAGAATGTTAGTTTATTTTATAAATAGCCATTTTCATACTGCCACTGTGAGAGGTCATTGGGGGTCCCAAAATGAATACAGCGGAATTCCTGTATTTCGGGAGATGTTGCTGCTGCTTACTGTCCACTGTGGGCAGCACTGTCTTAGGAGCTGGGGTGGCCGGTGGATAGTGAGGAACAGAAGGAGACCAGGCTCTTCCCTCTGCTCTGTGGGGCGCGGAGAGGCGGCGCCAACACTTACACGCGGAGGCGGCAGCTTGTCCCCGCTGTGCCGGCTCAGAGCAGGGGCGGCCTCCCTAGGGTCTCGGGTCAGAGAGGACGTCCTTCGCCGCGTGATGTTTAGGTTGGTCCCAAGGAGGTGAGGGGGGGAAGCACAGGGGAGACCCCTCAAGCAGGGAGGAGCGGAGGCACTTGAAGTCAGGGCGCGCCCGTCTCAATGGTCCGCTTCCTGCTGCGGAGGCTTCCAGGAGCCCTTCCCTCAGAGGGAGGACCTGGTGCTGCGTTTTCGGAGCAAAACTCATCTCCTTTCAGGTGAACGTTTTATGGTGGGAATGTATATGGTCTTGGTCCAAAGAGGCTCTTCTGAGGATCGCTGTGGTGAAGCTGCACCAGGAGGTGCAATTAGCGATGTAGGCGACACCTTGAGATCCGCCCCTTCCTTTCCCTGTAGCCAGGGCTCTGGTCTCCCCATCAGGTCCCCCCGGCTTCCAGCCCCCGTCGACATCTGCAAACTGGCCAGAGCTGGCGGCTGCTCATGCTCACAGTGCCCCCAGGGCCCACTCCCTGGTGTAGATAGACGATGCCCGCTGGCTTCCCCCTTTCATCTTCCTGTGGGGGTGCTGCACCCAGGGGGGCACCAACACAGGGCTGCCTCCTGAGGAGGAGAGAAGATGGGCTGTAGACGGATGGGCTGCGCAGGACCTGCTACTGCAGGGCCGTCTCGGTGCAAAAGCCAGGACTCGAGTGCAGGCGAGAGCGCCGGCCCATGGGCGCGGCCTTCCCCAGCACCACCCTGCTCAGCCCTCTGCTCAGTCAGGTCCCGGGGTCCTGGCCTGGCTCCGGCATAACAGGGGCCGCGTCTGTGCAGGCTCGTCCCCGCTGTCTGTCTTCCTTCTGGGTTGCTTGCTTCCATCATCACCTTAAGGCCCAACTTCTCCATCTTTCCAGCATCACGCAGCACGACTGTAAGAATTCCACGAAGCTGTCGGGTGTGCTAGGAGGACCGGGTTCGGGTCCTGGCCACCTGCCTGCCTTTCTAAGCTCAGGTTTTATGTTGAAATTGGAGGTAGTGAGGGCTCCCCACCTCTCCCAGGCACGCAGATGCACGGAGTGCCACTCGCCTGCCGCCACAGCCCCGCCTTACTGTGCCCGTCTTCTGTTTCAGAGCCCGGCTACTGCCCGGTGAGGCTGGGCATGACCACTGGGCGGCTTCAGTCGGGAGTGAATACTCTGCAGGGGTTCAAGGAGGATAAAAGGAACAAAGTAGCTCCGGGTAAGACGCCCACTCGGACAGTCACCATTTATTGCCTTGTTCGTACATTCTTTGCTGGTATTTTTGCAACTTTAATTCGTTACTAACTTCAGAAGAGACTGAAAAATGGTGTATTCGTATTCAAAGTGAGTTTTATTTATTTCCTCTCCCCTTTGTGGGAAAACACTCATTTGTGTTGTTACTTCATAAGCATCTGTTTGGGGGAAATGTCTGCCTTAGGTTTGTGTGCCAGTCGATGAAGTAGTAAAGTTAGAAGGGAGTGGTGCTACTAGAGCAAGCACACAGCCCGCCCTCCACGCCCCAGAGGAGCTAAAGTCTCTCCTCTTCGCCCGCAGTGCTCTACCTGAACTACGGGCCTTACAGCTCGTACGCCCCCCACTATGACTCCACGTTTGCCAACATCAGCAAGGACGATTCGGATCTAATCTACTCAACCTACGGGGAAGACGACTGTGACATTCCCAGCGATTTCAGGCGAGTCTCCGGCTCAGTGTTCTGAACGCCACGTTTTTCTAAAGCACTGATCTGAGGCGTGGATCTGAAGGGCGGGGTCCAGGCTTGAGGTGTGACTGAGGCTCATACGTGTGGAAGTCATGAGGGAGGCATTCACCCCAGGGGAGCTAGGGGAGGGGCACAGCTCGCCGCTGAGCGTGGGCTTCCATCACTGCGCTGGGTTTGCATTTCATTTCACTGTGTTAGCGAGCGTTTCATTCTGTCGCGGTGATGATCGCTGGTGAGTATGTAAACAGCGTTGACGAGGTGGTGAGTCTGGCACGTGGTGTGTCAGTGAGGCACCTGTGGGAACGGTTGGCTGTGACAGGAAGACTGAGCCGGTGGAGATGATTCTGTGGCAGTGACTCCCAGCATGCTCTCTTTCAGCATCCACGAGTTTTTGGCCACATGCCAAGATTACCCATACGTCATGGCAGATAGTTTACTGGATGTTCTGACTAAAGGAGGGCATTCGAGAAGCCTGCAGGAGTCGGAGACGGTAAGAATGCACCCAGAGCACGGTGATTTCTCATTGGTCCGGCATTAGTCATCGGTGTTATGAAACCATGGGCTTAACCAGTGTGACAGCTGAGCTCCACTCCCGAGAAGACGGCCCGGCCCGGGTGGGGACCGTGGGCGGAGGACAATGAAGGGAAACGGTGATGCGGGCACCGGGATCCGAGGCAGAGGGTGGCATCTGGTCCTGGGCCTGCAGGATGAGGAGGGTTCGCAGCGGAGCGGTCGCCGGTGCCAACACCTGGCAAGGGTAGCCCTGCTCGCTGCTGGGAACCGCTGACTGAAATGGGAGGGAATGCCCTTCGCCGCCTCCTCAGGGTAGAGCTGGTGGAGCCTCCAGCAACAAAGGAAGCCGCGTCCTGGTCGCCCTCTCTTACTAACACTGTAAACTCCAGGTCGGCTGGACAGTTCATGAGCTGGGACAACTTAGGGCTTGGTTCCGAGATGAGGACCAGCAAGCGTTCCTTCTAGAGCCGAGTTAGCTGGTCTCCCGATGCCCTTTCTGTCGGCAAATAGCCTTGAACTAAAATCGAATGGCCAATGTGGCAGAGTTTCTGATTTACAGCTTCTCTGCTCTTTGATCCAACCGTTACTATTCTCAGAATTTATTCTAGAAAATAAGGGAAAGGCTATATATAAGGACACATTGTTCATAATCTTTTAAAATTGGTAATTAAATAAATCACAACCTTTCAGGAAGATGACATCGTTACTGGTTTGAGTCCTGAGGCGTTTGTCTGTCTCTGTGGTTCTGAGAACTAGGGCTGTGCAGCTGGCACAGTCTCCAGTGTGTGTTCACAGCAGCTTCTGTCTGAGAATCGCCTGCTACACAGGGCAGTCCTGGCGCTCCTCCTAGTTTCCCACCAGACTGACCTGCTGGTGAAACAGACTCCACTTAGACGCTGGTGCTGTTCACCACAGACCGTGGGCAAGTGCACAGCTTTTGGATCGGGCCCAGAAGTACCCGTCGCAAAGTCACTAGTGGGGGGTGCTCTTGACTCACAAATTCTCTCAAAATGCCAGTAACTATATCTCATTCATTTTATTCCCCAAATCCACATCCTTCCGTTTTCCTGTTGTGTGATACTTGCCTTTGCCAGCACCTTGGAATCGACAGTTGTTTGTCTCTATCCTACAGTCATCACCTGAAGATGAAGGCCAGAGCAGGACCCTCGACGCAGCCAAGGAAACAGAGGTGATTCTATTCTTTATGAAAAATGTTTAAATGGAGACTAAGCTGAAAGACCTAAGTGATAAAGCTTTGTAAAGAAGAGTGTAAGTGAGCCCTTTCACTGCGGGACAGACACCTGCAGAGGGGAGATCGAGTAGAGGCAGATGCAGGTGCGGGTGGTGTGCACCCGTGTCCTTCCCGGGGCAGGAGCCCGGCGAGGCCGTGTGTAAGAAGGAAGTCTTCGGAATGGGAAGCAGTAAGGAGACTGATGGGCGGGAGGGCCACACCCGCAGGCCGTGTGCTGGTGGAGAAAGCAGGTGCTCGGGGGTTGAGCTGGGAGTGCGGCACCACCATCTAACTGGAACCGTCACCTCGGGTCACGTGTATCTGGTGACCTGTTCCTAATAGCAGCACCGAGGTTATAGAAACTGAGGCTTGTGAGTCCAGGATTAAACTCCACTCTTGGGGTTTATTTCTCCCGTGCAGTGCTGGCCCCTGGCTGTGGGGCCTGGAGGAGACCAGGAAGTACCTTACGTACAAGAGCTCCTGCAGGAGCGCAGGTGGCCGGACCCGGGCTGGCGTGGCTCTCAGTCTTCACCACCTCGAAGTCCCAGGCAGTTGTCACTTTTATGCTTTGAGCGCTGGCATATAAAACAAATGATGCAGATTGCACAGACACTCCATTACCGTACCGAGCAGCGTGGGTGTATGGACACTTTTATGCCAGGCTTTGGGAACGACATCAGATTATAGCTGCAAAGTGAGCAGGTGGAATAACTGGGCTGCAGATGGGCCATCTTCCTGGTTTCTCATTCCAGCACGGTGGGGCTTAGAAGCCCGCGTGATTCCTCTCTTTCTTCACAGCAGGCCTCAGAAGTGGAGCCAGCGGGGCGGGTGGGCTCCGGCAGCCAGGACAGGCTTGCGGCCCTGGAAGCGGTGGCAAACTTGGGCGCTCCCGTCGAAGTTTTTGACTCTGAAGGTGAGTGTCTGGGGTTGGGGGGTTGATGGAAGCGCTGCCTGGCACGGCAGTCAAGACTGGCGGTCCCCATGGTACCACTAACGACCACCCACCACTGGGCAGGCTTCAGGGTCTCGTGTGAGGAGATTAATCAGTACCCCCAGAGCCTCGGAGCACACGGCTCCGATTACCGCTCAAGGTGGAACCCGGGGCGGCCTCTGCAGTGTGTGCTGTCCCCACAGAGGCCGAGGTGTTCCAGAGGAAGCTGGACGAGACCACCCGGCTGCTCCGGGAGCTGCAGGAAGCCCAGAACGAGCGCCTGAGCACCAGGCCCCCGCCCAACACCATCTGCCTCCTGGGCCCCTCGTACAGAGAGTTGCACCTCGGTAGGTCCCCTCGCGGGTGGGAGCTCCAGGGATATCAGTTTTTGCGTTTATACACTTGTTCTTTAAAGAAACCACATTTCAGGACCTAGAACAGTTCTCATTTTGTTTTGTTTTTTCTAGCTGAACAGGTGACCAATAACCTTAAAGAACTTGCTCAGCAAGTAACTCCCGGCGACGTCGTCAGCACGTACGGGGTTCGGAAAGCGATGGGCATCTCCGTGCCCCGCCCTGGTGCGGGAAGCAGCCTGGTGGATCTAACAGAAGGTGCGTGCCCACGTCAGGAGGGCGGGGCCTTTGGCAGGTGCTCCCTCTGCGAGTTGCTAGTGTATAAAGTGCTTCATTCTCTCCACTTTACAAGTTGAAGGCTTGACACATTTGCAGAAAGAGCTACAGTGATGGCCTAATCACGCCCAGTCTCTACCCAGTGCCCACGGGAAGGGTTGCCAGCACCTCTGGACACTGCCTTTCCGTCACGTTCCTTTTTGCATCAAAAAGGGAAAACATGCTAAATTAAGTGGCATTTTTTTCTTTCAGATTTTGAAGAAGCTAAAAAGACGGATGTTGCTGAGTGTGGCCCTGATGGGAGTCAAAGCTGACCGGTATTTGATTATATATTATGTACATATTTTTTGATTCTTAATTTGGAAATGCTTTTCAGAAGATATTAAATATTTGTAAATTGTGTTTTTAATTAAACTTTGGAACAATTAATTTAATGTTCCAGAGACTGGCCTTCTGTTGGGTAAGAGCTGACCCTGGGACTATGAACTGGACGGTGCATGGCAGCTCAGAGGTCCCTGACCTTCCTGATAACGTGAGGGAGAAAACAGCCTCTTTGATGACCATCCGTTAGGGAAGCAAGCCTTCCAAATCCTTACAGCCCCTCAGTTCCGAGGTCCCTGTTAGAAACTAGAACCACATCCTTCCTCCCTTATCAGGTTGCACCTGGCCATTTAAAGTGGCCTGTGAGGAAGGCACGTGGCTCTGGCCTGTTGCCACCGGAGCTTTGCAAAGTAGGTGGAGCCAACTGGGCAGAGTCCTTGGGAGATCGGAGTGTGGCTGCTCCTGCCCCGGTGCCGCGGGCAGCCGTCAGCCTTGACCTGGGGCCCTGCCTTAGCTAAGATCCGTTCCTGAGGCCAAGAAAGCGTCTGAAGTCAGGACATGCAGGCTTTCCGTACTGGTCATTTAATACATGAAAGGCTGAACAAGTAGCAACACGGGTACTTTATGAACATGAACATAACATTCTAAACAAACACTGCAGACCTATACATACTCAGTACACAGAACACCCCTTTTTGCGTATTTCCGCACGTTGACCTGTTACACCCATGCAGTGGGTGAGGGTCTTCCTCCGTTAGGAAGTTTTCTCACATTAACCTCGGGGTGGAGGTTCCCTAGTCAGTGTTAGAAAAGGGGCTTGTCCTGTCTCAAACAAAGTGACACGTGTGAAGGAGTGACGTGATTAGAAAACTTTTATAAAACACAATTGCAAGTGACTTTCCTGGTCAGTTATACACTCCTATCTGAACATCGAAAGCTCATCTCATCTGGGTACAGTGCTTTAATTGTAAACACACAGACGTACATTCATGGTAACCAAGTATTTTTTAAGCTCCTGTAGCCTAATGTTTACGCTGCTAAGAGAATAGGCTGCAGCACAGGACTTACCTGAAACCAGCCCTTCACATGAAGAACTGGTGTGTAAAAAGGCCGCGTAAGGCTTATTCCCTTCCAGCATCGCTGCCGCACAACTCCTGTAGCCGACTCAGACCATTCCAGTTACATGCAACACCTCAGCGGCCCACCAGCACCCTGTGCAAGTTGCCCTGCCTGCGACCCTGTCTCCTCTTCCTGAAGTCTCTGTGCAGTTCTCTAACCCCAGGGGTCCGTGGGTGACTAGCCGATAGCCCTGCAGTAGTGACGTCACCTGCATTAGATCCAGGGGTCTCTGTGGTAGTGAGTCGCCTGCATTAGATCCAGGGGTCCATGTGATAGTGACGTCACCTGCATTAGATCCGGGGGTCCCTGCGGTAGTGATGTCACCTGCATTAGGTCCAGGGGTCCCTGTGGTAGTGAGTCGCCTGCATTAGATCCGGTGGTCCATGTGATAGTGATGTCACCTGCATTAGATCCGGGGGTCCCTGCGGTCGTAAATCGCCTGCATTAGATCAGCAGCTCTGCCCAGGCGGCAGGCAGTGCAGAACGAGGAGCGGCAGGCTGGTTCTTGCCCCGTGGAGCCTGGCTGGACTTGGGGTTCTGTGAGTCGAAGCTCATAGATGCTTTTTGCACTTGCCTTGGTTTATTCGGTCAGAAGAACATCTCCGCAACCAGGTCAGGGGACCTCTCCATGTGCCCCCGCTGGCGTGAAGCTCCTCAGCGTCAGTATGCGGACGAGAGGACAGGAGGGTCCCAGAGGTGCTGGGCGCCCCAGCCCCTCTCCTTCCTGCCGAAGCTTGCAGGGGACGGCGCCAGCGTGCACCAGTAGGCGGGCTGAGGTGGCTGGGCCTAACTTTGCAGGCTTTTTGCTGACTGAACCTAACCTCGAAAGGCTGGAGTCAAAGTGAGGCCACCTTCCACAGAGCTGCGTCCCCACAGCCGGGGCAGCCCTGGAGCTGACCCTGGACAGTGGTCCTGCTCGCGTGCCGGTGGTTAAAAGGCAGAGAATACACTGGAGGGAAGAGGCTTGTCTCGGATCTAAGAAGTCATTAAAAAGGATAAAACCTTCATTGGTAACGCAGCCATTTAACACGTTAAGTGCCCTGTCAGTCACTTAGTCCTCTCATGCAGGCTGGGGTCCAGCCCCCAGTACCCCAAGCTGCTCTTCTCTGCTCAGCTCGGAGCCCTCTGACCCCGTGTCCAGCTGCTGCGCCGACAGCTCCAGGGCCTGGCCAGACCTGAGGCCCGACAGCAAGCTCACGTCCCGTCTGCACCAAGTACAAGGGAGGGTGACACTGCTTTCCATCCGGACCGGCCCGTCACTGGTGCCGCCAGCATTTCGGTGAAATCGGATATCACGGGCTAAACGGAAAGGAAGACAAAACAGGCCTGGCGCCTAACGTGTTAAAGAAGCACATGCCAGGGACGGCAAGTAACGCACGTCCGCTGGGGTTTTCTCCCCGCTGTTTGAAACCATCTGTACATTTGAAACGCCCTTTCCAGCTCCATTCACCAGAACGCCTGGGTGAGAAATATGGAAGCCGTAGCTGGTCGCTGGGGCGAAAGGCGTCCTGCCCATGCCAACTACTTGTCTCCGTCCTCCTGTGCCTGGAAAACGGGTCGCCGTGCAGCTCCTGGCCATGAGGGGGGTCGGTCACGACCACAGCAGGCCAGCAGCAGCGGGACCCGAACGAGGAGCAGAAACGGGAGCCTTTTCCTGGGGCGGGGGCTGCGTTCCCCACACCAGCACACGGGTCCCGACTGCCCGGCGTGGGGAGGTCCAGGGTTGCCTGAAGCTGGGGCTGGCGCACGTGCCTCAGAAGTCCTCTCACGCAGGCTCCTGGGGGCCCACACAGCACCTGTCGGGAGCCGATGGCGGCCAGCCCTCGGACGGTCTTGGTGACTGTGAGCTGCATCTTCCACGGGTTTGGCTGGTGTCAGGGGAGGAGGTCCTGCCCCTCCCAACAGCCCTCAGTTCAGCCCGGGCCCCTGGCACTTGGCCGTGTCTGTGCAGACAAAGTAGGTCCTCAGCTCCCCTTTGCCCTTGACGTTGATCAGGCCCCGGCATTCACAGGAGTATCCGAGGCCCTGGAGGATGCTGCTCGTCTCCTCGGTCACCTGGGAAGGGAAGGGAAGGAGTGAGTCTGCAGAAGCAGGCGGGACGCCTGGGGGACGGCGGGCAGACCGGCCGGCAGCAGCGCGCCTGTTCCCCGAGGACTCAGCGGCTGGGCCCCAGTGAGCGGCCAGGTCCCCTCACCCCGAGCGCTTTCCTCCTTGGTCCCCGGGGTCTGTACCTGGATCTTCCCCAGCTCTCCAGTGGTCTCCATTCTGCTGGCGACGTTGACCGTGTTTCCCCAGATGTCGTACTGAGGCTTCCGCGCGCCGATCACTCCAGCAATCACGGGCCCGTGGTTTATGCCTGGAGAGGACGTTGGCAGTTGCAGGTCATTGAGGCTAGAGAACCCCCACCAACCACAGACAGCCCCTCGGAACAGCCGAACGAGGCCTGAGCCGGAGGCCTGGATCGGTGCTTCCCAGGCACCCGCAGCGCCCGAGTGGGGCACTCGTCCTGCACCTGCTAACTCTCCCCAGCGGCTCTGAGCACCGCCTGTGGCTCACAGTGACCATCCGGCCAGGAACCTGGTTCTCAGCGGCTGTCACAGCTGTTTACAGCTGGGACCTGGGGTTCCCCACTGTCTGTAGGGATGTGTCATTTCAAAGGGAGTCATGTCCGTGGTGTGCCAGCTGCTGGGTCGGAAAGTCGGGGCCCTCCAGAACCCTTCCCAGGAGGCGGGCGAGGACGGGGCCTGCGGGGCTCACCGACGCGGAGGCGGAAGGCGTTGAAGGAGTGCCTGTTGATGCCGTCCAGCTTGCTCATCAGGGCCATGCTGAACTCCACCATGATGCCGATGTGGGCGTGCTGTCGCTCCAGGTCCTGGGGACAGCGCCGTCAGGCCCGGCCACACCCCGTCTTCCCGCCTCGACGGGTAGATGGATGCGCCAGCCGCCCTGATCTGCACTGTGTGGGCATGAGGCCCACGGGAGGGGCCGTCGGCGGGCAGAGATGGGGCAGGGGCTTCAGCAGAGGGCCCCGGAGTTGCCCCCCACCACCCTCCCTCCTAGGTCAGAGCGTGGAGGTGCCCCCTTTAGGTGGCAGGTCTGGGCCTGGAATTTCACCTCGTGGGGCTGGGCCAGAAGCCACCAGACGCTGCTTACCTGGTTCTCATGCCCAGAGGGCACGCTGAGCCCCGCAGCTGCCATGTAGGTGCTGCCAATGGTCTTGATCTTCTCCACGCTGCTGAACTTGGGCTTTAGCAGCAGCTGCGGACAGAGGGCAGGGCTGGGGCAGCTGCGGCGGCCGTCCCAGATCTCAGAGGGCATCTCCCACCCAACCCTGGCCCTTCTGACGAAGCTGTTTCTCACCCTGGGCTCACCCGCCCGCTCGCCCCTATGGACCAGGGCGTTCTCTCCCTGCTCCTGTCTGTGCTTGTCTGGCCTCTGGTCTTGCTAAGGAGCCAGCTCTGCCACAGGGATGCCGGTTCTGTCTCCAGCTCCCAGGCAGGCCCGACCGACCAGGCCGACCGCGGGGGCTGGCGGGGGTTCCTCCACAGGGCCTGCCTCTAACCGAGCCAGCTGCCGGCCAGAGAGGACCCAGACCCTTGAGTGCAGCGAGGAAAGGGCTGTGATAGCCGTGTTGTGTGCCCTCCCGAGTGGTGGCACGTTGTGGATGGGCATGTGCCCCTGCCGCCGCCCTGGCGGGGCCCACCTCGTCGAAGTCGGCGATGATCTCGTTGAGCAGGCGCAGGCACTCCAGCCCCTCCTTGTTGACGTCGCACTCCGTGTAGAACACTTTGAACTCGGGCACCGAGGCGAACATGACGCAGACGCAGTCGTAGGACTGATGGTACCAGTCCTGGGGGGAGAAGCGGGCCTGTGGCCACCTCCCGGCCCTTGGAGCCGGAGGAGCTGGACGCGGGCCTGATCCACAGTAGGGGGCTCTCCCTCCCCCTGCGCCTCTCTCTAAGATCAATACACACAGACTTTTAAAAAATAAAAATAAAAACGGGAGTTTCTGTCAGGTGGTCAGAAAGAATCAGGCTCGGGCTGATTTTTGCTTTTAAATGCCCTGGGTCTGCAGAGCTGGGTCCCGAGCCCCCCGAGTAGAGGTCTCAGTCCAGAGACGCTCTGTCTCTGGCCCGGCGGCACGGAGCTGGTGGCACCCACGCTCATCACTGCCAGTTACACGCCACATCCTGCCTGGCAGGCACCGTGGGCCACAGCCCGGGAGGGAGGCGCCCACGCCCGTGTCCCTGCGCGCGCAGCTCACAGTGAGGCCAGGACCACAGAAGGCACGTGGTGGCTCAGCCCTCCCTCCGGGAGCGACGGCCGCAGCCCTGGGGCCGCACCTCGTTCAGCTTGTCCCCGATGAAGTGGGCGGCCACGTGGGCCGGCAGCACGTTCTCCAGCAGCAGGCGGTTCACGCTCTCCATGGTCTCAAACTCCTCGCGCTCCTTCTTGAACTTCTTCTTCCACAGACAGTCCAGGCGGCAGTAATAGTCGATCTGCAGACGGGACGGAGTCCTGGCCCCGTGAGCGGGGACCTGCCACCCAGCAGCATGGCCCACCCTGTGACCGTGGTGAACGCCTCACTCACGTGACCCAGGGGTCACTCGGGTCCCCGACCAGGGCTTCCCCCCAGGACCGTCTGCCCCCAGTCTGAGGCGGCCCAGCCCACCCGGCCCTTCCTGAGGAGGGCAGGTTGGCGGCTGAGCTGGGAGGCGGCAGCGGCCGCCTGCTCACCTGTCGGGAGAGCAAGACGAGGGTGGCGTAGAACAGAACCAGGTAGAAGCTGATCATGGTCTTCAGATCCGACCAGGAGCAGGCGGGGGAGCTGAGGGAGTGAAGGGAGAGGCAGGGTCCCTTCCAGCTCTCACCCCCAAACACGGGCATGGGGCCCAGACTCCCCCAGTGCCACCCGGGAAGAGCCACCGAGACCGGTTGTCTGGTGCAGACCGTGAACAAAGGAGACAAAGGAGAAAAGGGGTGCAGGTCAGAGGTCGGCCTCCCTGAGGGGACATCTGAGCTCAGGCCCAGATGACAAGGAATAGCCACACCCGGTCTGAACAGGAAGCCTGGGCCGCGAGGGGGCAGGAGGCGCCCGCTCCGGAGGGCCCGGTGGGGCGGACGTGTGCCCTGGCAGGTGTGCAGGTGCCAGGCAACCCGCAGGGGCAGCCTGTCCTGGGCCCCCGGTCCCCGCCTCTGGTCCAAGGGGAGTCAGGCCCTCTTCTCAATCCAATTAGGCCAGAGCCCCAGGACCACGCACACACCTGCCCTCTGGACCACAGGTCACCACCCGTCTGGGAGTAGAGCAGACACAGTGCTCTTTCTAGAACTCCAGCTGAAGCCTCCTCCCCACCCCAGACTAGCCAGACAGGACCTCCCAGGTGGCCCGTGAGACCAGGGACGCTCCCCAGAGAACCGGCCAGCCAGTCACTCAGCTCGGAGCGCGCAGACCTGGAGCCCATGACTGCCTTCCTGTGAAGGAAACCACGCCGACCCCTGCAGGTGCCCACCCGGCGGGCTCAGTCTGAAATGCCATGGAAACAAAGGGGATACAATGGGCCACCGTCACCACGGGCAGTGGGCCGGGCCCCACCTGAGGGTGGCGTTGGTCTCCGTGCGGTTGCGCAGGCCGGGGCCGCAGCAGTCCCACTGCGCGCACAGGGAGAGGTGGAAGAGCGCCAGGTAGGCCACCAAGGCCCCTGTCAGCAGCGCCACCTTCAGCTCCAGGCTCATCCTCAGGAAGACGGAGCAGGCGACGAAGGCCAGGATGCAGCTGCAGGTGTGATACTGGGGGGACGGGGTGCTGGTCACCCACCGTCTCCCGTCCCTGAGAGACACTCCTGGCCCAGCCGTCACCCAGGGAGAGACGTCTGGGGCCCCGCGGAGAGCCACGTGTCTCAGCATCGCCCTCTGGCCTCCTGACTCCCTAACAAGGGGCAGGCCGCGGAGTCTTAACTTCCTGTGCTGTCTTTACTGACCTTCACTTCCACTGAGGGCAAGTGGGCTCAGAGGAAAACAATGTCATGGGAATGCTGCTGGTGTGGAGATGTGACACGGGGCAGGGCAGGGCAGGGGGAAGGACAGGGGCAGGAGCAGGGGTGGGCAGGGGCAGGGAAGGGGGAAGGACAGGGGCGGGGCAGGGACAGGGGCACACACATGCCTGAACAGCCTCCCTGCCTTGAGTTTGGCCGTGAGCTTGTCCTTCCCACAGTGTATCTCTGCACCTCACTCTCCTGCTCAAGAGCCTGCTGTGGCTCCCCACTGCCCCCAGAACAAAGACCAAACCCTTCTCCCTGCAGTCAAGCCCCACCCTGAGCTGGACCAAACCCACCCACACTCTGGACCAAGTGGCCCACACCCAGACTCCTATGGTCTCCAGCTCAGCCCCACGGGGCCCTCCCCACCTCTCCTTGGAGAGGCTGGGCTCCACTCGGCCACACCCTGGGGACTCGGGGCGGCCAGGGCCGGTGCACTCACCGGGAGGAGCTTGCAGGGGGTCCAGGACATCCTCTCCCGGCTGCTCAGGCTGGTCTGGTTCCCAGCCGGCAGCTCCAGGGCTGGGGAGGGCAGCAAGGGCTGCAGAGAAGACGGTACCCGAGACAGGTGGTCAGGGCCTGGGACTCCAGGACCTGCCAGGCCAAGCAGGGCTGGGCCCAAGGCCTCCGCCAGCATCACAGGCACCTCCTGCCAGGCCCAGCTCTGTGGCAGAGTCTATTAGGTCAGGGGCACGGAGGTGGGGACAGGGGCGTGGAGTGGGGAAGACCTGACTAGGTGTGGGGCCTGGAAGGACCGTAGGGACATGGACGTGGACACGGAGGCTGGCCCGAGAGGCAGGGGCCCCATGTCCTCCCAGCTTGAGCCTAGGACGGCTCCCCAGTCTCCCCGAGGGTGAGACGGGCCTCCTGGGCGGGGCCGGGAAGAAAGAACGGGGTGTCTGGGACACCGTGCTTCAGGACACCTCCTGTGGGGCTGGCCACGCGAGCTCCCTGGGGCCCCAAAATGGGGGGAGCTCTCACCGCCACGGAACCCCCAGGAGGCCCGGCCACGGGGCTGTGCGGAGGGTTCTGCCACGGGTGGCTTTTAGGCAACAAAACTCTCGGGGTCCAGAACTGGGAGGTTCCCAGGCTCAGGCCTGGCTCCCGCCACCAGGAGGCGGGCATAGGGTCCTCGCCAGGGCCCCTCCCCACCCGGCACCGGAACCCACCATGTTGACGATGGCGATGACGAGCAGGCTGCCCACAGTGAGCACGGCCAGGGCCACGCGCAGCAGCGGGTGGGTCTCCACCCTCTCGGAGACGGCCCGGAGCCCCGTCCAGGCCGGGCAGCACCGCTGGGGACACAGGCTCACGTCACCCGCTCCCGCCCCGACAGCGGGACCCTGCCTGAGGCTTTGTGGGGGACGGGGGGGGGGGGAGCGGGTTCTGGGAGGGTAGCCCCAGGGCCCCGCAGATGTGAGACCCCGAGATCTCGCTCAGCTGGGGAGCATCGGCAGGTGCTGTGTCCGGGGCTCAGACATGTGCGGTGCCCAGACAGAGGGACGTGCCCCTCTCGGGGCTGTGGACAGCTACAGCTGCTTGGGGACGCCTCTGGGGGAAGCGTCGGGGGGACGCGGTGACTGCCCTTGAGGCAGGAGGGTCAGGGGGCGGGGGCTCACACCTCCTCAGCCCCGACACCCGTGGGCCCCCACGGTGCTGGGTCAGGGGCTCCCCACTCACCAGCAACTCGTCAGCGAAACACAGGCCCAGCACCAGCCCCAGCGCGCAGGCCACCAGCCCGAAGGACACCCCCAGAGCCACCGTCCTGCAGAGGAGGGACACGCCTAAGTTCTGGGGGAGCGTCTGCTCAGGGCTAAGCCTCCGACACGCTCCCCCATGTCCCAGCATCCCCATCCTCAGGCGCACAGCGGCCTCCTGCCTGCACCCCCGCCCCACAAGCTGCTCTTCTCTACTCAGCTCAGAGCCCTCTGACCCCGTGTCCAGCTGCTGCACCGACAGCTCCAGGGACTGGCCAGACCTGAGGCCCGACAGCAAGCTCACGTCCCGTCTGCACCAAGTACAAGGGAGGGAGGGAGTGCAGGCGTGGCTCCGTGGCTGAGCGTCGATCTACGAGCCAGGAGGTCACGGCTGGACTCCTGGTCATGGCACAGGCCCGAGTTGTGGGCTTGATCCCCATTAGGGGGCGTGCCGGAGGCAGCCGATCGATTATTCTCTCTCTCATCATTGATGTTTCTCTCTCTCTCTCTCCCTCTCTCTTTCTCTCTGAAATCAATACAAATATATTTTTAAAATGAGTGACTTCGCAGCAGGAGCCTCGGGCCTGGTCCAGAAGCTCCCTGTCTTGGCTCAGTGGCGTCCTGAACACGGTGCCCTGCACTGCGGCCTAACCACCCTCCAACCAGCAAGGGGCTGACCTTCCTCTCTCCATGACCTCACCCCCACCCGGCCCCCCACAGGGCCCTGGAGGCAGATGCAGCCTCTCGGTGGTGTGCACCCGGATAATGCATGACCCACGCCTCTGGGCCTCCGTGTCCCACAGCTAAGAGGGAGGGAGGGCGGGGCCAGCACCCCAGGCAGGAGGCCCACCCGGAGATGCCCCCGGCGTGCGGACAGCAGGCTTCCAGGGTGAGAGGCGTGTGGGAGCTGGGAGGCCTGTGGCTCAGGCTCCAGGGAGCAGCCGTTCAATTAAAGCAAAAGCTAAGGGCCGGGAACTCCAGGGGTGGGGACGCCACGGAGGCCTCATGGGCTCGTGACATCCGGCCCCCCTGCCGGGTGCCACACCCCTGCCGGCCGCCGACCCCCGCCTGGCCCCGGTGGGCTGACCGTCCTGCCCACCCCGACTGACCTGGGCATGAGCAGGACGTGGACCAGCAGGAGGCAGACGAAGACGAGGCTGGCGCAGGCGAAGTAGTGGCGGACCCGGGGGATGGGCGCCAGGCGGTACTGGGGGCAGGAGAGCGTGAGGGGCGGCCCGACAGCAGAGGCCCCCGCAGGGCCACGTGCCCTGACCCCTTCGGCCGACTCAATCACCTTAAAGCACCTCACCCTCCTTGACGATCTACTCTCATTTGTCTCCATCTGGTGTCTAGAGGGGACCCTACCCCTCCCCACCCCCAGGTCCCCCACTTTATCTCCACGTCCCTGAACAGCCGGGGCCCAAGCCCCCTCCTGGACGGCCAGGCGCTCACCTCTCGCTCGAAGCCCTTCTCCAGGAAGATGGGCCCGAAGGTGTAAAAGTCGTCAGACTTGGAGCAGCAGGGCCTGGGGGCAGGAAGGGCAGTGAGATGTGGGGAGTGGGAGGGCCCCCCAGGGGAAGGGATGGCCAGGGGGCAGGGCCCCCTCTCAGGAGGCAGCACCAGGGAGGGGAAGGAGCTCCCAGGACATGACTGCAGCTGGGCCACATAGGGACCCTGGCCACAGAAAGGGTCTGGCCACATGGGGGACCCTGGTCACCTGGGGGGCCCATTCGAGGGGGCAGGGCACGCAGAGACCTAGGCCCCTCACCTCGTGGAACTGAGCCCCTCAATGGCTGACAGCATCTCGTCGTCATAGGCGTCGTCCTCCGACCGCCCCTTGGGGGACGCACTTCTGGAATCAGACACGCACCCAGCATCACCCCAGGGACCCGCGCATAAGTGCAGGGCAGCCTGCCTGGAGGAGGTGACTGGGACAGGGCT